TGCATTGCCGTGAAAATTGTTATTTTATCATTGAAATCAGAAACAAAATCGATCAGAGTTCAAATAAATCAAAACAACAAACAGAGAGTAGGAAAAAAGGCGAGTTTGTCACAAAACTTCAACAAAGTAATAAATATTGATCGATAGCATCGAATCGATAGCGCTATAAAAATATAAACCTTTAGTTAGGTGTGTTTTTTGCAGAATATGTCATAAAACTAAAGTGATTTTTCTTGTTAAAATTATACAAATCAAATCTTTAAAATCTCACGTGAAAATGACAAGAGTTATATTTTGGTTGATCATTTTATTGCACTCGTCGACATACACATGATATATATACTTATAAAATACTTCAACCTTGTGGCTTAGCTAATAGACCAATTAATGTGGAACGGCAACATAAATTTTGGTATATTATACAAGAAATGTGGCGAAAGAGAAAAAGATGACAAAAAACACGAAATACTTGAAACCGTTTCTCTGTTCACGGGACAATGGATCCAACATGTTGAACTTTATATGAATCATTTCGAATGTGTATATAAAATTTAATACGCAAAGTTTTTCAATGATCAACGTCAAACGCCGATTTAAATATATTTCGCAATACTTTTTTTTTTCAACGAAACTGTCAAGCTCGAAGTTATGAATGCGTGTTATTTAAATTTACTGTAAATCTTTTAACAATGTTTGTTTTGTTGTCTTCTAAAATCCAGTCAAATCCGATATTTATGACCATATTTAGTTTTTAAATATACACACATATCTTGCAGGACTGTGAGTCTGTTTTTTTTCTAAATCATACCATTTCTAAACTTCGATTCGCTCATTATAAAATCATTGAAATCATCAGTTGAAGCGTGGTTGTACCCAATCGATTGAATTAAACGCACCATTTAAATCTTGAATCACTTTAGCCAAATATTTCTATCTAAATCGCGTGTTCTTCGATTTTAAATCGTAAGATCAAACTGAAAACAGAAAAAATCATATTGTTTATTCTAAAAAAAATCGTGGGTTTCCTTCGATCAAATCGATACATTAATTTGTATCAATTCTCAATATGTGTGAATAGATATAGTTTTTTGATAAAAATTAAACGAAACCATCATCGGCACACGCATAGCAAAACACTTTTTCACATACTTAAATCACAAACAACATACATTGAAAATGAAAATGAAGATCAGTTGTTGATATATGGATTGAACACAACGGCGATGAGTTTTAAATGCAAAATGATCCAAAACAAATGTAAGCAATACCATAAATAAAGAGTGAGAAATGGAACGGCATCGATGATCTTAGTCTTGCATCATTTTAACTTAAGGTTTATTGATTTCAATGGGTGTGTTCGAATATATTAATAAATGTTTACATTCTTCTCCTCCTATCACCGCGAAGACCGAAGCGAAATCCAAATATTTATAGTATTTGTTGGACTACGACAGTGAACTTGAATCGATGAAAAGAATTATGACAAATTCTTCTTTTCTTCTAAATGGAGCAAACAAAATGCTGGCATTTAGATCGAATTGAAAAAAAAAAGTTTTGAAATAGATGCTTTCTTCAGTCTCCTAAAAATAGACTAACTTTAAATTGAAACCGTCAATTTATTTGAATTGTATTCAACTTGGTGGGGTTTATTCACGAGTGGAAAAAAAATTCTTCGTATTTTGTTTGTAATTACAATTATATGCATGAGCCTTTCAATGGAGCATGCGAACGAACGTCTGGTAATGGACCCTAATGTTGGTTTCAAGTGGAATGAAGACGAAAAAAATCAATGGAAATCTGCTTGCAATTAACATTCATCTTTGTTCATTTTATTCTCATTGCCGACATCGTTTTTGGTGGGTGTGAGTCACGACGACGCGCTCACTTTTTATCCGAACTTTTTTTTGGCTTTTTTGTTCTTGTTTGTTGACTAATTTGTCTTTGCATTCTTCACAAGTCATGCTACTACTTTTTGCCTGTTTTTTTTTATCGCCCCTCAATGAGAGAAGTTCTTGTGCCGTCTGAAAAGGCACGTGTTAGAATTGAAAAATGCTAGCATGAAAACGTCATCAAAAATCCGCTAAAAAAAGTGCAAACATGAAATAAAACAAAGTGGCGCAGTTTTTGGTTGAGCCTGCTTTTTAGCATGGTTCACAAAATTGAGACAAAAATTCACAAGGATATTGTACAAAAACTGACACAAATATAAATCATTTCACACGGCTCTCTCTCTTTCCTCCTGATGCGTCAATGATTTGATTTAGATTCTCACCATGATTTCAGCAAAAAAAATCATTCCACTCCATTGTGAAGCTACTACAAATGATTCAGAATCGACCCGCCCGTACGGAACATTTTCACAGTAATCGAAACTTTTCTCGCTTGTAAGTAGAAAAATGAATGGTAAGCAAAAATCAAATTGACAGAAAGGTCCAGGCTTTGGTAATTACCTGATTTTACGGTGCGAAAAGTATCTTTCGCACTTTGAATATTATTATTCAGGTACATTTAGGTACGTTTTAGAGAAGAAATAATGACAACTTTTATCGACTGCAACTTCATTTCGAATTCAACATGTCATGTTATTATGGATAAAAACTATCATCAAAATTTCAACAAATGTTTATTTTTAGTTTAATTAACTACCGTTTCGTTTCATTAAAAAAAATATAAATTGTGGAAATTTGATTCATTTAACTCAATAGTTTGAATTAAATTGACATAATTACCTCTTTTGTTTCAATGTTAGACTTGTACGCGCGAACAAATGACATTAAGTTAATTCCCCTTTTCATTGTGTCATTTCATGTGCTTTTTGTTTCAAATCCATTTACCAGCTTATCTTCACACAAATGCCTTTTATGTAATAAAGCAAAAGAGAGAAAAAACACCAAGTGTGACATATATAACTTTAATCAACGCGTGGCTTTAAATCCAAATTCAATGGATGATTATTCAAGTATAATATTATAAATCTTTTACAAAAGCAGACGACTGTATATAATGAATTATGCATACGTGCATACGGCTATGCAGCACTACCATCATATTTTATGCAAATCTGCACGAAGCGTGTTAAGGCTTGGAAGGAGGTATTCATTTTTTGGACTCTTTTTTTTTATGCATCGTGTAATTTCTTTTGATTGATTTCAATGTCAAAATGTGTGAGGTTATTTTGTATTTGAAATCGGGTAATTTGCGTTAACATTATTTCACGTGAGTAATCTCATCTCAGGAAATCAGATATTTCCACATGCTATTCGCTACAATTTAAAATGACACTCTCATCCCGTCTCTGAAGCCATATTTAATCTTTGGTACATACACATATGCATATTTCATATGAATCGAGATTAACTGCTTATGTCTGTATGCCATATGTATGAGCGGATTGTTCGTGTATGCATATGCTTTTGTCTGCGTTGCCTGTGTTACAATGTCATTTATGCTAATTACTTGCATTATTAATGGTACATGCATCATCTATCGTTTTTGTCACGATTTAGATCAATGCACATTCGATATTCAAATCCAATCTTTACATCTATGCACTATCTTTGGCCGCACTCTCGTAACCTTGTATGTATTTGTCGTCTCTATGTATATCTTATTTAGAAGAGCCGGCCTTTTTCCGCTTGTCTTCTTATTTTTTTCTTAATCTGCAGGAAATTGATTTATTCCACGGAACGATATGCATTTAAATAATAGTATGAATGATTTCTTACAACATGCCATGCTCTATAGATTTGAGGACATGAATAAAATATTAGAGTTAAAAATTGGGAAATACACAAACGCAAATGCATGTCAATGCGGTTCTTTTTTTAACTTCTATATCATATACAAAAGTATTAATGCATGTTGGATAGATTTTCGTTGATAACTATTGCTATTATTACAAACTATGAGAAAAATCCATTATATTTTATAACTTGCACGGCTGTCATACATATTTAAACTCGTTTTCAATTAGTTTATTTCAAAAAATCAACCTGTGCGTATATCCCCTTTTACGTAGTGATTTTTTGTTGACATTTTTCCTTGCATTTTTCAGTAACTTTCGGCGCGAATACATTTCAATTTTGTGAGAAGAATTGTTTTGAAGCAAAAATTCAACTTTGTTGAAAAAAAAAGGTTTAAAATTAGTGGCGAACATACTCAGTAAATTTAACTTTTGGAGGAGCTCAGATTTTATGCACTCGAACTATGAAAAAAAGTTTTGTTGATGATTTTGCTCGTTGTTCATTGAATACAAATCAAGGGTTTTGCGGAACGACAACACTCATTGACAGTTTGGATGTTGAAATCTGCTAAGCCACTACTAGTATTTTGAAATAGAATCAAATGTGAAATTACTTGCCGCAGTTACAAAAAAATGCTTTCTTTCCTCATAGACTGATGAAGCTTATCAATAACCATTCAACCGGTATATATATATAACGTCTGACGTTTGCTATAAAGAAGATATGTAAATTTCGAGAAAAATGTCTATGAATAAATATTCATTGAAAACTGAATGATTCTCCAACATTTTTGAGACAAAAAAAACAAAGCCGAAAAAAGTGATTAAAGCTATTTTTGAATATTATTCTGTTTAATTTGAAAGCCTATGTCAAATTGATTTCAAAGCAGACTGAAAAAAAATGTGATAATGTTGATTTGTCTGAAAATTGATGTCATTTCTATTTAAATGAATGGTGTACATAGATAATTAGATATACATGTATTGAATCGATTGAAACAAGCAAAACCAAAAAATGAATTGACACTTGTTTCAGCGGTTTCATTCACCACATTCAATTTAAATAAATTATAATGAGCCATGACGAGAGATGAACATTTTGTGTAAAATTTATTGATTTTGAACATACTCATAATTAACTCAAATGAATAAATTATGTGGTATTTTTTTATATAAATATATATTTTGACATTACAACTTAGACGAAATGGAATGAGAAAAAAAATGCATGAAAGAACTCAATGAATATAAATCGATGTTGTTTTTTTCTCTGTGTGTTTGTGTGTTGTTGATATTGCACAACTGATGAAGTTTTTCTAAGAAGATGTAGACAGAATATAATATTCCAATTAGTTGATGCGGTGTCGTGGCGTTTGTCCACCGTCATTCATGCTAGAACGTGCACATATTTTATACGATTCATGGTTGAAATTTTAAGGAGAAAATAATAGCTGCTCGTGTATATTGTTCTGATGAAGCTGATTTTGTTGCTGTGGTTGAGATGATGGTGCGTCTTTTTGTTGTGCGCGTTTCAATCCAGAGTTATTTATAGGCAAATAATTTTGAATGGAATCGATTGTTGGTGTAGTTTTTTTGTTTGATTCGGTTATTATGCGATGATTTTGTTGATTGTCATTAAAAATAATTGCAGTCTCGTTGGGTTTATTAATTGATGTTAAATCGTGCCCCTCTAAATGGTGCAGTTGATTGGTATTTGATGTGGTTACATTTTCACCTTTTTTTACATATTTCACTTTAAAAATACCTTTGTCATCAACGTATGCCAAAGGTTCCAATCCACTTTCAATGGCCATTTTATTGTTCACAAATACTTGTATGTTTAATAAATTTGGTAACGCCGGCTCGTTCCCTTTATTCGATTGGATTTCAATTGATGCAGATTGTGGCTGTTTGGTATCGTTATTCAATGTTGCAGATTCGTTTCGATCTGACCTTGACAATAAAACGGTCGACTGAATGGGTCCAATCGATACCGGATCGATTCCGTTCGTCGAGCTTCGTTCCGATGGCCAACGAACGTGACGTGATTGTTCTGACGACGGTAATGATGTTGGGAATGCAAACGAATTAACTCCTTGGTTTCGATCGAGACGCCTAAATTGTGGACGTCCATTAACCATTTTAGTTGGATTCGATTGTATTGTCGAGCCTAGAATTTGAAATAAAAAAAAAACTTGGTTAAACACTCAATTCATCTCTGCTCAAACTCAATTCATCAGGTTTTTTCTATTAATTACATGCATAAAAAATGGGCGGACAGAAACACAATGAAGCAAGCAAATTGAATAAATAATTCAAAATACACCGGTAAATAGAATTCTTTTTGGAATGTTTTTTTTTTACTTCTATTCGTTAATCATGAATAACAAATTGTTGTTATTTGCTAATGAATTGAGAAAATGTACGATGAAAGCAGCACAAAGTTTGGTGAATTGAAAGAGAAAAAAAAGAGAAAATAGAGAATGGATGCTCACGACATACAAAGAGATGAAGTGCAACGGAATGTATGGAACTGGTAATTAATCGATTGATTTATTGGGCGCGTTTTCACTTTTTTTTCTATATTTGTGGTGTACGCATTGCATACGGTTCTTTCGGATGATGATATGATTTGAATGAGCTTGTAATGATTAATCCGATGAACGACAGACGGGATAATAACAAATAAGCGCTTAAGAGCACTTGAAAGACTCGATACTTATGACAAAACATAGCAAATAATAAATTTAGATGCTGAATATGTCTCATTTCTCATCTTGCATCAATTTCTCATTTTGATCGTTGTACACAATTGATGAATACCATTCAGAATGTATCGACTTTCAATCGAACATTCTTGTGTTAAATATACATTTTTGTCTTTGATTTTTTTCCATCTCTCACTGCCATATAAATTGAATGAACAGAGTTCATATGAATGTTTATCAATATTCAACAGTACGTGAAAAAATATAGTCACCGAACAAATCAAGCTAATATGAGTCACGAACCAATATGCTGTGTGATTCAATGAACAATTTTGATGAACATGACGACAGGCCGAGACCAGATTGCCATCTAAATCGCGCGCATCATATTTAGGTAGAGCATCTATGTGTGCTCCGTCGGAGCCTCCGTGGAAGCGTATGTGTGCTGACTTTCATGTAATTGTGATTGATTAATTACGTTCGTTCATTAAATAAATCAGTGGTTAATAAATCAAATCCATTAGTATGTGCGTTCCTCGACATCATCATAGTACTCATCGTACTTGTTATCTCTCTCATACGTACACATACTCGATATCCAAAACAGTTTGCTCCTTTTGACTCTTTTATGTCGTTTGGATTAGTGCGTGAGCGAGAAACTTCTATATGCATCGTACACATAATTGGATAGTTGTATTATATTGTGATGCGTATGCCGACTATGTCCGATTTTCGAATATTAATTGATCAGATCCAAATGCGTGAATATGCCGATATACATATATCGAAATGATGGACACTAATTACCAAAAACGTATGAATTTTTATATCAAAAATCAGCATTCGTTTTGATGGAAATGGTATTAATTTATAATAATATACATTTATTACGATTAGAGTAAATGGTTCGAAATTTTTCCGGTTGACATTTTACCTGGTACGTTTTTCATATAATTCGGTTGACTGGTAGTGCCGGAAGAGTTGGAATCACTAACATTGCGAATGGTAACTACGTTTTCGATATGAATGTTGGTTTGAACATGAATATCGCCAAAATTCTGTTCGTGTTTATGATGAACACGATTTATGATTTCTCTCGATTTTACGCTTTCTCCATTTCCAATATCATCCGCTGAAAATCGTTCACTGACTAACGGTTGTTCATCAACTTCTAGTTTATACTCAAATGCATTGACTTTGCATAGTATTAGACATATCAGCAATATAACAAACAAAATATTTACTTTGCATGTCATAATTTACACGATAATTGTTAACAACACTGCTGATTTAAATCATAAAATATTTGTTACTCAAATAATTAGATAGTATATAAATTGTGTTAGCCAAATTTATTTTTCTGATCGATAGACACTTGTTGTCATGATCACGTCCAATACACTACTGAATATTAATTGGCTTGGTGTGAGTCTTCAATTGCATCATTCATGTGTTCTCCCCATCAACGACTTTTTTGTATTGATTGGAATTACCACATTCACACTACGTTGAACTTATACCAGGCCAATGTCGGCACGAAATCTTATATTATCAATGTTTCGAACACCGGTTGAAATCAGAACTGACTTATTTACAGTAATCTTTGATGGCTTTTCCAAAATAACTGTGCGTCATAACCGATAACTCTATCGAATCTTACTACTGAAACATATGTGGCGAAGGTCATTAAAAGAAACAAAGATATCAGCATTTCATACTCGCACGTGATGATACATTTGGAATTTTTTTTGTGTGCTAGACCATATTTCGACAATCAATTCAACAAAAGTGGGTTTTTTTATAAAAAGAACACATTTAAAAGGAGACCAAAATGTAACGCACATTTATAAATTGAATACGAATTAATTTATCATTGACTTTGATTAATATACCATTGATTTTGTTATTGCTACAAATTTGCAAGTGCGTTGAACAAGCATTTCAAATAATAAATTACGATCATTTAGTGGTTTTGAATCATTGCGACAACTGAAGTTCAAGCATTTAAATGAATTTGTTTTTGCAAACATTATATTTTTGTGTGGAATTAATTGTATAAAATTGTGATAACGTATATGACGGTGATATAAAGTGTTGCGATTCGATTAAGACATCTATATAATATGTAGTGATAGCTTATGAATTGAACCTAGAACTTAACTTCAGAGAGACTACATAAATGAGAGAAAGTGTGGATCAAAATGGTGGGTTTTGTAATTTTTCGACTAAATTTAGCGTTTCCGGTTTTAATCCATGTAAATTACAATTCATTTTATTCGTTTGAAAATAATTAAACGTTGTTCGTCCTTATTTTGATTTTCTCCAGCGGCAAGATACGCAATTAATCACATTCGGCTTTCATGAAACACCAATGTGATCGGTCGGAAGATTAAAGATTTTCCAATAAAAGTGAATTTAACGCAAGACGTCTGATTTTAACATTGCGTGATAACCCGTCTTGAAAGACTAAAATGAATTGCCGGCTTATTACGATTTTTTGTAATATAGATTTTTTTGGGGAACAACAAGATAATTAACGACAGCCCAATTCTGGATCGATTACAACATGAAAGTAATAATATAAATTGTCTTCTTCGTTTACTTTAACATTTTATATCAATTATCGTCTTATTTCATCGAATTTTAATTTAAATGGCTTAACTAATTTGGCAAGAGTACACCTGGGCGCATACAACCGAAGGACGAAAATTGCCGGTATTTCAAACCAAAGAAGAGCGATGAAAAAGTGCTGAGTGCTATTGAAGTTGCAAGACGAATAAATATCAAAGTGAGCAAATCGCCTGTTAAAAACATGGCCCGGTGCTTGAGGCAGTCAAATTCAAAACCATAGTCAATTTGATAAATGTTGTTAATATAAATATAGAAAAGAGGCAATTGACAACTGTTATCTAAAAAACGTTTCCATTCCAACGATAATACCCATTACGCGACCCAAATGTAAGAGAAACTGGCCCAATCATTTCTGTGCTTCTGTACAAACATTCAATCGAAATCTGTGGTTGTTGGCAAAGGCATTGCTTTCAATTTCGTTGTTTTTTTGTGTGTATGTGCAGAAACTACCAGAGTGGTTTCCTGCGGTCGCTTCAATGCTCCGGCCAAAAGTTGTATCATCATTGTAGTTGTCGTCGTTGATGATGTTGCTGTTGTTGTTATTTCATCTTCCTTTCGAACATCGCTTATTTTCTTTCTTCTCAATTTTTCTTTTGATGCAACGTTCGCCTTTTTATTTGCTTCATAGTAACTTGACTTTGTGTTGTGGATGCTTTTGCACTTCGGATTTTTGCCGTGTTTTTTTTTCTCAAGTACAAGTCACGACGCCTTTGCACATGGTGTTGTCTTTAACTGGAGATTCAAATGGACAGCAAGTGAAGAAGGTGAAGATGATGAAGAAGAAAAACTTCGTCCGATTTATTTTGCGTTGTCGTTGCCGTTGCATTTGTGTGTCGTGTTGATGCATCATCATTTTTTTATCTCCTTTATTCATTCACTTTGTTTCATCTACCGTTTTTTTCTTCATTTTTTCGAATTTATACTGCACACCGATCTGAAAGCACCTGCCATAATGGAATGTTTTTGATTTTTTTATACATTTTACGCGCTGATTTTCCCGTATTCTCTAGCGTATTCTTTCTTTTTCAACTTATAAAATTATGCTATGTATACATTCTGGCCAATTTCTTTTTAGTTTTCGTCGTGGCAACCAAAATATATATACTTTATTGAATTTTTCATCAAAATGATTGAGCAAATTTTACAAACTTATGCGATTAAAATGACCTACAATCGAAAATATCGTGCCAACAAAGATACAAGAGAGAAAATTTATCATTAAAAAGATGTCCAGAATGACACATTTGCAACATTTTTACGGCATCGTCAATTTTTAATCTTTACAAGAAACAAAAAAATGTAATGATCAAAGATATATTGTGGCTTGCGAAAAACATGCAGGTGAAGCAAATAATCGAATAATCAAGTGATAATCAATAAATAATTTTATAGAATCGCGATGTTAAATCGCTGCTGGAAGGCTTAGTGTATGGCGTAGCACATCACTAGGCTTGAAATAAATTGCTTTCCCTGTCGAGGTTGTACTCAGTCTGCACTAAGCTCAGTCCACACAAATGTTACTGCAGGTGGCTAGTTTTACCTCTATTATATAAACGTCTTGACCTCTATTGTTGACGCACCAATAAACTAATGCTGTTTAAACATTGGATTTATTTTAGCACTACTATACGGACCATTACTCCAGGCTCTTTGTCCGATATACAGCCTTTTAATGCACCGAATATTGAAATTACACAAATGCATAACAAAAACAACAACACCAACGATAATAATAATGGTTATGCTCTGAAGTCAATTTTTCAGATGCGCACAGACCAATTAGATTGGCTGTCAAGTTGCAATCATGATGCGATAAACCTCAATTATGATGCGTATCATAGCTCTAGACAAATTATTGGATAATTCAACGTAGTAAATGTGCATCTAAGTGCCGCTTTTAGAAAACCGGTTCATCGGACGGCCCCAACAAAAACATTGTTGGTGGCATCGTAACTTTAACGCAGTCTTTCAATGAGATTAAAATTGGCTGTTGTTTACCCGATTATTATGTTCATTGATGATTTGAATTTAGACGTAAATTTGCGAGCATTTATTACGCTCACTAAGCCTCTTATCAAATACAAAACCATCCATTTTCCGCTACACTTTCCGACTGTACGATTATCACTCTAAAATCGGTCATTATACGATTTTATATTCGCTTCAGCTCTACCGATGGTTTCGAAATTGGCTCAACCGGAAAAACGACATAATAAGATGATGAATGTGATACGAATTATATTAGGGTTTGAGGTAAGCCAAAAAAAAAAAGTTCAGCCCGATTCCCCAGTTTACGACTGATTTGTATGCAAATTCAAAACGACATCGGGTTCAATATTGAAAAAGTTTTTTGATTGCTTTTACGGAAAAATAAATAAAATAAAATAAATAAATATTCAAGGTTTCGTCTTCTGACAGTTTGACACACATTTAATCATTGAATTTCCATGGAATTGTTTCGAAATCGATAAGTTTCGAGTTATTTATTATTATCGAGTGCCACAAATTACTTACGTTTATCTGATTTGACATTTCAATCCTTTTTCTATGTATTTCTTTATGTTCCCCAGAATTTTTCACTTTTATTTACTTTGAACACGTGGAAAAGTTTTATTATTTTTTTTATTTTTGAAGTAAAATAGAATGGCTTCTTTCTTCATAAGTAAATGGAGTCTTTTCAGAAATGTATGGTATACGTTGAATTAATTTATTTGTTTTGTTAATCTCAATAAATCACATGGATGATTGAGTATCCGCACCTCAAAAGAACAGGTGAAAGTGAATTAAAGCGATGAGCCAGAAATCGAGCAGAGAATTTCATATTTTATACTTTCTGATTTCTTCTTTACATTCACTTCATTTTTCTTTTTTTCGTTTGAATTTATAAAAATTTACGAAGTAAACAATCGAAATGCTCCTTTTGACAAAAGTTTATCAACTTTCGAATTTAATTTAATCGAAGCTAAGACGGAAAGACGAACATGTTTAAATGGATTTAAATTGTGCATGGGAGAAAATGAAGTTTTTCGTGTCGCTGAACAATCGCTGAAATGAGCTCAATGAATTGATTGGGAATTGAAATGATTGTATAGTTTTCGAAACATACAATTCTTTTTCGCGCATGAACAAGATTGAATCAACGAAACCATTGCAAATTGATCAAAAACTTTTGATTGAATAAATCATTTCATTTTTTCTCTCTCTAAAAAACATGACGATAGTCATTTAGCTTCACTTTCATTTCGTACAAATGTATGTTCAACGTTAAAAAAAAACGTTTCAAAAAGGGAATTTAAACTATATATATTGAGTTCAATAAGGTTTTTTATTTGTATGAAAAAGCATTTTGATGCATGTCGATGCAAGAGGTTCCAGGCACATGCACAACACGCGTGATATGTATTTAATGAACAATGTAAAGAAACATGCAATAATGACGTCGAATGACGCAAATGTGAAATAATATTTCAATGTGAGGGTCTTCAAAATAGAAGTAGTATTCTTGAGAGTGTTTGCAGAAACTGTGCGCTGAAAACTCATTAAGCGTAAAAAGCAAATTAAATGAGTGTGTGTGCATGCATTAAAACACCTTCTCGGTGCTTGGATCAGAGTACTAATAAACACCCACGGGTGGCGCGCACGGTGCTGTGTTTTAACATGGTACACACTTCAGTATCGAGTTGAGTCGAGTCAAGACAATAGCAAGGAAAATCAGTTTCCTTTCAGCTTTTGAAATCAATAAACCGCACGAATGGAAACCACAGAAACCGAAACATTTCTCATAATAATGCAATGTTGCGGGTAGAGAACAAACGTCATTCGA